ATCCATGCATCATTCATCCATGCATCAGCCATCCATCCATCCATCCATCCATCCATCCATCCATCCATCCATCCATCATCCATCCATCCATCCAACATCCATCCATCCATCCATCCATCCATCCTCATGTCACAGAGGCAACAGATTTTGGAGAGAAACCCAAACATTGCTCTCCCTAGCAACACTTTCCAGGTCCTCCTGGAGGATCTCAAGGTGTTGTCAGGTTAGAGAGGAAATATAATCCCTCCCTTGAGTTCCAGTAGGATTGGGTGATATTGGCAAAATAATAATCATGATTAATAGTGGTATTCTAATATAATTTTAAGATGCTTACTCCACTGCAGTCCTTGGACACCGACCGGTACGTTCTATTCACATAATCGATGTTAGAAAAACATGCACCCTCCCTAAGAATCTGCTCCAATTTGTGTCATAAGAATATACTTCAAGTTATACACCAGGTTTTAAATTGTGTTGATAGAACAAGTAAAACCAGAGTTAGGATAAATAATTTGCAGCACTTAAAAAAAAACCCTTCATCATACAGTATCTGAAGTGTTGCAGCAAGAGGCAGATTCATGGAATAAACATCTCAATTCACCCTCTGGTCTCAGCCTCACCATGCCAAACTAAGATGAAACCCCAGACCTCCTTTCTGGCTGAAGCCTGATATTATGTGACAAATGCCAAAAAATCTAAAGGAAGAAGAAAAAAAGAAGCAAAAGTTGGAGGAAGTTCAGCTGTGATGGAACGATGGCAAAAGCGTGAATGAGCAATCAGATTTGATTTGGACCCCATGGGGATATAAAAACAAATGTGTGTGTGTGTATGGACGGGTTTTTCCTACAAYGTGGGGTATTTTTTACAAAAAAAAGCAGCCAGATGGGGACCGAAGTGAATCGTGGGGACCAATGTCAGGTCCCCACGGGTCCAAATGCATGTTACAGGTGTGGGGTTAGGTTTAGGACCAAGGTTTAGGTTAGTTTTAGGGTCAGGTAAGTTTCTGTGAGGTTAATTTTGGAGTATATGGTCAGGGTTAGGCTATAAAGTCTAAAAATCATGAAAGTCAATGGAAGGTCCCCATGGGGTCGAGAAACAAACGCGTGTGTGTGTGTGTGTGTGATACGATCGAGACCTCAGTGAGTGACTGTCAGGTTGCACCAGTGTTGCTAGATGGGAAATGTTGAATTATCGTATCAGCAGCTCAAAATTATCGTATTTTGAGGAACATTATCGCACACCCAAGTTACATTCTAGAGAGGCTCAAATTTACAAATACATCCTGCTCAGCTCACAAGTGCTCTGTATTCAACAAACTGCACATTCCTTTGTTTATAATAAAGTTAAAATGCACTGTATCTGACTGTTGGGTGTCTATTATTTTTTACAAAAGCTTTATCGTAAACAAGAACAAAATAGGGAGCCTGGTGAAATGATGCATATAAAAGGAAATATTAGATAAAATGACTGTCACAGCTCTAACCTTCCTTTCTATTGGCTAGGGACCGGCAAAGGGATCTATTTTAACCATAGAAATGTTTTTATTAACATCCCATCATGGATCATTCACAGCAGCAGTATTCATTTCATGTCTGAATGGGACGATGGATATCTGTCTGCAGCGGGGAGAGACGCAGTGTGAAGAAGCCTCCTGTCGATGCTCTGGGACGAGGAGGAGCTCTCAGCAGCACAGTGGAGAAATGTGTTCACAGCAGAGTCTCTCAAAGTCTCAATAACACCAGAAAAAGTCGCTAGATTTTCACTAGTCACTTTTCTGAATAACAGTCTTTAGAAGGTCTGAAAASTCTGTAAATATAGCGAGAAAGTCGCTAAATTGGCAACGCTGTGTTCCGCAACCCGCCACCTCTCATGTCAGCGAGCCGCGTGTCGATTACGTCACACATTGGAGCGGTCAAATTATGTTTTTTGGAATTATTGATCATACATCATACAGAGGGCCAAATTATCGTACAAATACGATAATTATCGTACGTCTGGGAACACTGGGAATGAACTGAGGTCCGGACAGAGGCTGAAGTTATTACGTAAAAAGGATTTATTTAAACAAAAACAAAAAGCTGACAGGGCATCAAAACAAAAATTGAAACACAAGGGACATGAAGGGGGAACGAGACAATAAGATAATTTCATACAATGAACCAGCGGGGAAATGAAGGACAAGACCAGTATTTAAACAGAGGGAGAGAGGAAATGACAAACACCTGGGAGTACGACTAATTAGTGATTGCAGACAGGTGAGGATGAAAAACAGGGAATGATCTAGAAACAAGTTTTGGAAACGGTTTTGGAAATTATTTTATTAACTGGTTAAAAATCTTATATAGCTCACCAACAGCTTGTGTTAGGACAAATAACTTAACTTCTTCTAGATTTTTTCTTCACAGAGGCACCAGGCAGGGATGTCCTCTGTCCCCTTCACTGTTTGCTATTTTCATTGAACCTCTAGCAGCTGCAATCAGGCAAACTGCAGATATTAAAGGCATACAATGTAAGAACATTGAATACAAAATTAGTCTTTATGCTGATGATGTCCTACTTTTTCTACAATCTTCAGGGAGCTCTCTATCTAAGGTTGTTGATTTAATAAATTCCTTTTCAAGAATTTCTGACTACTCCATAAACTGGTTAAAATCCACAGTTCGTCCAATAAACTGTGTTCTTAATAGTTCTCTTA